TTTTCCAGTTCTTCGTTTCTCTTTGGTCCGTGGTTTATTGGTGCCTGGTTTTTGTTCCTTTGGTCTTGTGTTTGTTGTCTTGTCCACAGAGTCCTGCCCTTGGGCCAGTGTTCTTCAGGTGCTCTCACCTTTGCTGAATTTTTTATTCCCCGATACTTCTCTCTCCTTTCTTGAGGGTTCCTGGCTTCTACTCTCCACTGCTCCTAGTGTGTCCCCCTTCTGTTTTCCCTTCTTCCCTGTTCGCGGATTTGGGTCTCCCAGGTCATCCGCAGGGTTATCAAGTCCAGCCAGCCTGCGGTCTATCCCCGTGCCCATGACGTCCGTAAGTTCGCGGCTCTTGCTGCCGTCTTTGGGAATATGTCTTGGTCTAATATTCGGGCGCGGGGTTTTTGGCGGTCGAACAGGGTCCTGGCTACTCGTTACCTAGTGAATGTCCCTGGGCCCCGTCGAGCCTGTGTTGCTTTGGGTCGGCGGTTGCAGCCAGTTGTCTCGACTTCGAGTTGAGGAGTGAGCGACGACTGCCTCCCGGGTAAGTCCCTATTTTTCCGTCTGTGGGTAGTTGGTGCCTGCCTGGCACCAACCTGGAATCAGCTTGGAATCTGCCTGGAATCAGCCTGGTTGATCAGTCCAGCAACCAGGAGGCCTGGTCGACGACCGGGCCGCGGGGACGCTAAGCCCCGGAAGTACCTCAAGGTAACCTCAAGGTAAGGTAGTTAGCTCCAGGGAGCCAATGGGGCTCCCCCCAGAAAACCAGCGTTGAATGTAATGAAATGCCATTTTCTGGGCGAGTCCCGGAGGCTTCCCGGCATCCCTCCCTCCCTCCGGTCAGCGTTTTTTTCGTGTTTTGGACATCCAGCCACAGAACTGAGGTGTGGGTAGCCAGCGTGAAGGGTCTGGGGCTCCCCCTTTCCCCTCCCGGGAAGGGAGGAGCTGCGCAGACAGCGGGGCAGCGACGTGTGACGTCACACTAGTTTGCTTGTTTTCTGTTGGGGAGTTCTAGCCACTAGTTCAACTTTTGGCAGAAATTTTAAACAAAATAGGGGTTTGTTTTGAGGCGCTTACCTTTCTGGGTGCCTGTTCTGGTCGATGGCAGACATAGAATGCTTCCAACCACACGGGGGTTTCTATAGGCCATTGCTCCCCCTTGCCTCTCTGAGGGGGGCCCCGTTCTGGCTGTAGACCCCGGTAGGCCTAAGAACTCCATACACATGACTGATGCCAAAGTCTGACATTAGCATATCAGCCTGGGAAAGCTCCGGGGAGCCTCCGGGACCCACCCAGAAAATGGCGTTTCATTACATTCAACGCTGGTTTTTTCTTCTATCTTCTAGTTTTTGTATATTTAATGCCTCTAACCTCTCCTCGTAGCTCTTGTCCTTCAGTTCTGGGAGCCACTTAGTGGCATGTCTTTGCACCATTTCTAGATTGTTGATGTGCTTCTTAAGATATAGGCACCATACAACCGCTGCATATTCCAGCTTTGGTCTAACAAGTCGTGAACAGTTTCTTTAGTATTTTGTTAGCCATGTATTTAAAAGCAATTCTGATGTTAGAAAGTGTAGCATAGGCTCCATGCACAGTGTTTTTAATGTGGTTCTCAGGTGACAGTTTTCTATCTAGAACCACCCCTAGATCCCTTTTTGTCAGAATTCTTTAAAGATTTCTCACATAATTGTGGGGTCTATGTTCTCCTATTCCACATTCCATAACATGGCATTTATTCACATTAAATGCCATTTGCCAAGTGGTGCTCCACATACTTATTTTGACCAGGTCTTCTTGAAGGGCATGACAATCATCTAGGTTTCTTATCTTCCCTATTATCTTAGCATCATCAGTAAACATGTTCATATAATTTGTATTCCATCTGGTAGATTGTTTATGTAGACAATGAACATTACCAGTGCAAGAACTGAACCCTGTGGTACTCCATCTATGACATCTATGACATTTCTCCAGTCCGATACATTGCCTCTAATTACGGCCCTCATTTTTCTACCAGTTAGGAAATTTTTCATCCATGTTAGAAGCTTACCTGTCACCCCTCCAATATGTTCTAATTTCAAGAACAACCTCTTATGGGGAACTCTGTCAAAAGCCTTTTTTACGTCCAGATAGATGCAGTCAACCCAACCATCTCTTTCCCGTAAAATCTCAGTGGCTCGATCATAGAAACTGAGTAAATTCATTACACAGGATCTTCCAGATCGAAATCCATACTGTCCGTCTGATATTATATCATTTCTCTCCAGGTGTTCTACCCATTTAGTTTTGATTAGTTTTTCCAATACTTTCACTATTATATTAGTCGATGATACAGGTCTATAATTGAGGGGGAGGGAGGGAGGGATGGAGGTAGGGGTGATGGGTGTTGCGGTGAAGCAGAGAGAGGGAGAGAGTGTGAGTGAGTGTGTAGGGGGGCGGGTGGGGGTGGAGTGTCGGTGGTAGAGAAGGGACCAGCTCACTCTGATAAGCCTAACACACTTGACCCAGTTAACCAGATTTGTTTCTTAAGTTCTGGATGTACATCATATATATTTTTGGTTACAGATTTTGTTTAGTAATATTATTAGGATAATAAAAAGCTATAAAAATGCTTTTTCATGAATGCTTTATTGTATTAGATGGAGATTCTCCAGGCTGTCTGGCTGGCTGGCAATCTACTGAGCCATTTCCCAGAATGTTTTTTTTTTTTGGGGGGGGGGGGGGGGGAGCAGGAAGTGAGGGTGTGGGGAAGAGCAGGAGTGAGGGAGTGGGAGAGAGGTTCAGTGAGGGTGAGGGAGGGGGACAATAGAGGTAGGTGGCCTGCTTGCTGTGTGAGGACCCCTTGATGCCAAAACAAACCCAATACCGACCTTCGGTGATATCGACTGCCAGACCGGTATATGAGACTAGATACCGGTCTTCCAAACCGGTCGTTATTACCGGCAGATCGGTATAAAAGAGGACGTTAAATTGTTTGAATACTGTATGTATGTGTTGCACGGTCTAAGGGTTAAGGGTTTGGGAATAAAACCGTCAGCCTCTACATATTCCCTAAACTCAATAACAATATTCACAGTAGCATCCTGGTTTGAACTGGCAGTTTCCCTATGCCTCACTACACTGTGAATGCCACTTCTCTTAAATTTCTCAAACCACTTTTGAACACTATTAGCACTAGTTTCAGGGGTTCTTTGTAAGCGCTACTGCTCCATGCAATTGTTATACTTTCTCTCAAATGATGACCTTAGGTACATTATCACCAGCCAACTGTCGTTCATATATCCAAATCAATAACAATTTCTCAACCTCTTCAGTTTAATGTGATCACTGTTTTGTAACTGCTTTCACTTTTGCAACATTAGCTGCTTTGATGGACTATTTTATTTTCAAGTATTATAGATAGTGTCAATTTAGCATACCAAACATGGTAACAAGAGCAGACACACTGGCACCACTTTCACATTTAGCTATGAGGACTTTCTTCATCCGGTTTTAACCAATTTTCTTTTTGTTTGGCTTTTATCACAACTTTCTTCGGGGACTGTGACTTATTTACACTAAGAATATAAAATATATCCAAGATAAAAGTGTAGCGAATTGTGCACTTCTATGGCAAAACTGATGCGTCAGGGACGCACGTTTATGTGCTAATGGCAAGCAAACAGACAAATATCAGTAATGAACACAGCATCTGCATGCCGAGTTGAAGGCCGTTCGAATACCGAGGTTCTACTGTACTTTGATGTTGGGGATTTTTATGTCAAAATATACTGTAATGTTGTGTGAGAGGACAGGTTGTATGATGACTCAACTCTGTTTGTATCTGGTTTCTGGTTCTTTCCTAGCTCACCAAGTTTGATGCCGCCTCCTTACAATGGCTGTGCGAGACATTTGGGCACCCTGACATAGATCTCTATGTCTCGGCTCGAAATCAGTGCCTCCTCCTTTATGTGGCTTCATTCCTAGTTAACTGTGAAGCCCTCGTGGTCAGGCCAGGGGTGCATCGTGTGTTGTGTCCAGTTGCGGTCCTACGCCATTCTTTGCGCGCTACGGCTACTATGCCTGGGGACGAGTTTTGGGTTGATCGTTTCCCTTCTTCCCTGTTCTCAAGTGCGGGTGTCTCAGGCCTGTGTTGCTTTGGGTCGGTGGCTGCAGCCTGTCTTGACTTCGAGTTGAGATGTGAGCACTGACCGCCTCCCAGGTAAGTCTCCTTTCTTTTTCGTCTTTGGTGAAGTAGCTCCGGGGAGCCATAGGTGCTCCCCTAAGAAAACCAGTGTTGAATGTAATGAAACACCATTTTCTGGGTGAGTCAGGGAGGCTTCCCGGCATCCCTCCCTCCCTCTGGTCGACAGTTTTTGCATTTTTGATATCCAGCCTCAGAACTGGGGTGTGAATCGCTGGCGTGCGGGTCTGGGGCTCCCCCTTCCCCTTCCTGGGGAGGGGGGGAGCTGCGCAGACATGCGGCGCGTCTCGTGTGATGTCATGCTTGTTTGCCCGTTTTCATTTGGAGAGTTCTGTCCACTTGTTTGTCTATTTTCATTGTTTTAACTAGAATAGGGGTTTGTTTTGGGAGCTTACCTTTCTGGGTGCCTGTCCCGGTCATTGGCAGATATAGAATGCTCCAAAATCACATGTGCATTTCTATAGGCCATTGCTCCTCGTGTTTCTCTGAGGGGGGGGGGCCAGGTTCTGGTTCGTGGTCCCCGATAGGCCTAGAACTCCATCTGCATCGACTGATGCCAAAGTTAGGGATATTCGTATCAGCCTGGATAGCTCCAGGGAGCCTCCAGGACTCATTCAGAAAATGGCGTTTCATTACATTCAATGCTGTTTTTTTTCTGGGCTGGCTTCCTCCAATTCTCTTCCTGCAGGTACATTCCCAGAGTCCTGTCTGTTCTTTCCTACATCAAGTTTCCATGGTCTTGGTTCCCACTCACTTTCTGGTGTGGTGCCAGCTTTGGATCCTCCTCCATGTGTTGTTTAGTTTTAGTAATAATGTGTTTCATAATTTGCAGGTTCACTTGTTAAGGATCCTTGGTCAGTTATGGAGCTGTATCTAGAAGAATTAGACATTGAAGTTGTGGTACAGGGAGTTCGTTCTGCTAGCATCCGAAATGAAGAAACATCAACACCAGAATTTAGTGGAATAGCCGATGGAGGCAGAATTGATACTTCAGGTTGTGTACATAGTGTGGAATTGAAAGAAACAGATGGAATGGCAAAAGGGGAAGAAACAAATGGAATGGCAAAAGGGGAAGAAACAGAGAATAGCCATAATGTGCAGATTAGTGAAATGCTAAATAAAAGTTTATTTCAAGTATGTTGTAATGATGGATGTGGTGTGTTACCGGAAAAAGAAACAAATGTTACCAGAAATTGTGATGAAATGTCTTCCTCGGAAATATGCAAAGAAAACAAATCTGTAACACTCAATGTGTGCGTGACAAATACATCAACACCAGACACTGGAATTGTCGATATATCAAAGAAGTCTGATCATACAGTAAATAATAATAAAGATGAAGTGCAACCAGGTAAAGTATTGATAGGTAAACAGTCTTGCATCACTTCACACATACCTCTTAATTATCGAGATTCTGATGTGAACTGCTTAAAAGAAATTGATCAACAGTCATTTGGATGTATAAAGCATTTTCACAAAGAATCTTTGGCCAAAATAAATCTTGACTGGAAACAATTAAGGAAGGATCCTCAGAACAATAAAATTATTCAGTGTCACCAAGAGTGTCAGTTTGAAGATTTAAAAAATAATAAAGATTCATCAAATATTCAAATTCTTTTTAAGTCACAAAAGGAACAGAATTCCAATGTTCCTGAGAAAGATGCACATTTTTCAGAAGAAATAACTGCACCTAATGCTTCTTTTAAAGAAGAAATAAATATTAACATAAAATCAAAAATTGAAAATAATCAGGATGTTTTGAAGGGAGAGAACTTGCCTGTTCAGGTTGAATATGAACAGGTGTTTGCTCAGGCCCAAGAGTTGAGTGGTGATGAACAAGTTATTGAAAAAAATAAACAACCATTACACAATAATGAACAGGATATTAACAAAATTAAACAACCACTACATAATGCCGTTGAGAACTCGTGCAGTTTGGGTGTAAGTGATAACATTTTAGGAGAAAACAAAGAGCAGTATTTATTTTCCGAACAATTTAAGCACAACACGCAGGAAGAGATGCTACAGCCAGCTGTTGCTGTCATCAAGGAACAGAAAACAATACATAATAAATCAGGTTTTGTTAACTTTGGATATTTACAGAATGAGATCAGAATAAACAAACAGCCCAGTCAGAATAAAAACGTTTTGAACTTGTGTGAATCTTCATTGGATGTTAATAAGTATGAAAATGTAAAAATATCACAAACTCCAGATTCTTTACAGCATTTATTTTCAAAAAATAATGATAAATGTAGTAAGAGTAAAGATATAGATACTAGTCTAAAAAAGTACAGTGTGGTTAAAAATTCTGTACAGAAATTTACTGAATCGGTTGAAAAAGAAGAAAATTGTGAATTACAGTGTACAAAAGAGAGCACGGAAGAAATGGGTTTCAGTAATCAAAATTTTATTTTAGATGCATTGCCTCAGAAATCAAATAATTTCTTCAACAAAAGTTTAAGTACATCTGGTTCCAGCTTGAACTGTTTACTGCTGTCTCCAGATTTTGAAAATGTTCGAAGCTGGATGGGATATCAAGAAAGCTCTTCACCGAAAGAACAAGCTGAAATCACGTCCTCCATAAAGTATGAAAAGGAAAAGCTCATAGAATCATCCAAAGAACAAATTTGTACTGAAGCAACTATAAGCAATTCTTCAAGTAAATACTTTGGGTCATTATTACAAGATGTTGATTTTGATGATAAGTTCTTCCAGTGTCCTGTTCAAGAACACCCGAGTCAAACATTTGATGAACACACAAATAGCACACTCTTCTTTGGAGAGACTGCAAATAGTTCCCCTCCTCAAGCAAATAATATGGAATCAATAAAGTATAGTAATGTTAATCTGAATCAAGATTTAAATGCAAAATGTATGTATTATCTACAACAAAGGGAAAAGGGTCAGGAAAATATTAATTCATTAAAACTGACAACTAAGGAATCTGTATTGACAACCCCTTCCCAGATTTGTGCCATTCCAATTTCAACTAATATAGAAACAGCTTTCCAGCCCATGAAGGTTCCAGTTCTTCCTTCCATAGTAGACATGAGGAAGCATGTAGTAGATCCTAAATCTCCTACAATTGTTAACAATGAAACCACAGTTCTACCTTCCAGTCTGACCTTTGCATTGTCTACAATATCCTCAACACCTTTTACTACTGCACCTGTTTCATTATGCAATTGTATGTATACAAATTCTGTGTTACCCATGATAATGTCCACTACAGTACCATCACATGCAGTTAATTCATCACCTGTTTGTTCTGGTGCTTCACTATCTGAAGTAAGTGCACTGAGCAGAAAATCTCAAAGGAATGAGAGGTACAGCTCATTAAATAGGGAATTTCATGAGGATTCAGTGGGTAAAGAACCCCTTCTGTCTACTATTCATACATGTACTGTAAAAGATGTTAGTAATAAGTTTAGTACAACAAATATTACCAAAGATGTTACTGAAACAAGTTTCTTACCTAATATGACGTCATTAAAAAGTAATATTATAAACTCATATGAAAAAGGCTGCAGTTTTGATGATGGAAAGTTGAACACCAACTTCATAGCCACCACAGTAAATTTGCATGATGTAAAGTGTGAAGGTAACATTGGAAACATATCTGAAAATATAGAACCTATATTCGAAGTATCCAGCACATCCCAAGTAACCAAAAATGCTGAGAAAGGCTTACAACCTTCAAAAATTCTTGCTTGTAGTAGTGCTATTGAGAAACTTGACCCGAAGCTAGCTTGTGATGAAGATAATGACGGCTTTCCTATAATTTCAATTGATTCAGAAGATGAAATTCAGATTATAATCCCAGAAAAAAAATGCAAGTTTAAGAAGACAGTAGAAAACAATTTTTTTCACTCAGGCAGTTGTAAATGTGAGGTAGGGTCAAAATGTGTTTGTTATTTTACTCGTCAAAAACAAGGTGAAAAGAGCAAGAGTTATGTAATAAAGTCCTGTCCTAAATTTAAGTGCAAAGGAGAGATGGAGGCATGCACAATTGAAAAAGAGAGAACTCAGGATGATAATTTGAAAGATTTTACAGGTATTAAAAAATTTGCATTTGGATTAGATCATGGAGGAATAAAAAGAATGATTGAAAAGAGTGAGGATAGTAGGCCTACTAAAAAAAATAAATCTGTATCAAGCATCTTGCATGAGAAAGACAAGATCAATAAATTTAATGAAAAAGATTCTAATTCTTCAGAGGTGACTAATGCTGAACAAATGGTGCTCATGTGTGGAATTCTTGATAATTCAATTGTCCATGACAAAGAGTGCTATTCTCCAAGAGTCAAAGAATTTGTTGATTTTGATGAGAGTGCAAGGAAAAGTAGTTCTCTAGGTAACTTTAGGTTCTATTTTGCCTCAAAAAAATCTAAAAATGAGCAGTGTCAAGAAAGGAGTGTAGTAGTTAAACAATTTGAATCAGTTATGAGAAACAATGAAGAGGATAGTCACACACTGAAAGAAGATAGCAAAGCACAAAAGGAAAAAAACCAAATCTCACAAAAAGGAAAAAATTTTGAAAGAAAATTTGGATGTGCAAAATCAAGCCCCCAACATGATACTAGTTCAGCTTCAAAGTGGGATGAGTGTGATCCTGGGCTATTGGAATTAGACTGTGGCTATAGTGATTTTTTGTCTCCAGTGATTCCATCATCAGGAAGTTATATGTCATCCCTTGAGTCATCACAGCATAACCGTAGACTAGGTAATGGGCAAAGTTGTCATAATATTAAACCATTTGAGGACATTGGAAGTGGTGAGAAAGTATGTGATATGCAAAGCATGCTCACAGATACAACACATTATGATTTATTGGGTAGTAGGTGTGAAGAAAAGTTGCAAACTATGTCAGAAACAAATGTTCATGATGGCTTACAAGAGGAAAGTGTATGTGAAGAATCTAAAAAATTATCCAATGTTCAGAATCCCAGATTCTTATCTAATATGATGGTTCAGATTAACAATTCTGAAGGACAGTTACTAAAGTGTGTACCTGTTACTAATTCTACATGCATGATGAATAAAAATCATTTAGATGGTACTGATACAAATCCTCCTTTAAAAGTAAAGCATTCTAAAGACTGTTTTAAACCAGAAATGGCAGCTAGAACTATGATTTTATCTAGTAAGTGTATTCCATCCCAAACACACACTGTTCCTGCACTTCCTTTAAGAAGTAATTTGACTTGTAATTCAACAGAACCTATAAATGCCAATTCAGCATTATCATCTGCAATGTCTCATTTCTCACAAAGTAAGAAAAGAAATTATAATTTAACAAATAAATCTGTGCTCAATATGTACAATACGACAGCATATCAGAAAAACGGAGAGTCTAATTCGTCTGTTGTAGAACTGCTTGAACCTGGCGATGCTTATTTATCAAAAAAATTGTCTCCCCCGATGAAAACTTGCACAAATAATTTAAATAGCTGTAAACACTGCTGTAATCATTTTTCTCAACTTCAAAGCCAAGAATCTGTGATAGATTACCAAGCACCTATTTCAGCTAAAAATCTCACTGTTGTTCCTCCAGCTTTAGTTACTAGCTATGGAAATAATATACCAAGTGGCAGGGTGTTTATGCAAACTAACTCTACTTGCAATTTAAGAGAAAATGTAAAATCCACTAGCACCGACAACCTGGAGAGGATTGTTGCTGTAACAAGTCAAACAATTCATGGCCCAGTAACCCAAGTCTTGAGGGTTGCAGCACCAGCAAAACAAAGCCAATATAAAATAGATAATTGCCAAATAAATTGTACAAGTAAAAGAGAAAATAATCACATTGACTCCTTGGACAAAGAAAGCAAAAAGACTTGTATTGAAAATACAATGCTGAAGAAAGTAAAAATGGGATCAAAAGGTGGATTTTACTTTAGACCCACCTCAACTTTAATGAATGCTATAATACAAATGAGAAAGAAAAAAGAACTTGAAGCTCAAAACAAAGGCAAAAATTTAAAAAATTCCATGTATGTGGAACTACCTGATGGTGAACCAATTTCCCATCCTATTTTCATTCCCAAAAAAATATGTCAACCAGAAATTGTTAAATCCAAGAAAAGAAAATTTAAAAAGGAGAGAAAAACCAATAACTTTGTAAGACAAAAAGTATTGGAAATAGTGGAGCAAAGGGAAAATAAAGATGTTCCAGAAATGGTGGTGGTATGTGTAGGTGGAAAACTTTATATCTACCAAAGAGATGCGGCATAGACTTTACAAATCAGATTTTGGATTTACAAAATTATATAGGTCGACTGTTGAATAGCAAAAATATTGTTATTATATTCTATGTAACTGTAGTGTTGCTGTTGAAGTTTTCTTACCGTGAAATTCATAGTAATTGCAGTCAATAAAATGTATTACGTACCAGGATTTCAGGTTTTGTGTAAGATAGTTTCGAATGTGTATGAATGTTGAAAAATGGAACTTCAGCTGATATATTCCATCTTTTTAAACCCCTTTTAAAAATAAATAAATATATATATATATATATCGCTAAGAACTCTATTTGACCCGGTCAGGATTCGAATCCATCCCGTCCAGGATCACCTCTAAATGTACACAGTACCGTGACTATTCCACCAGTGATCGTCATATGGATTGGGCAGTCCTGGTGCTTATTAATTAACTAAGCTGCGCGACCGATCAACCCACAACGACACTCATGTATCCATTCGGGTACAGTTTTTCATCAAATTTTGGCACATGCACGGACTGTGTTGAGTTTTACAAATGTGAGAAACCTGCATGAACGCACAAGCCATAGATCACTAAGAGCTGCATTTGACCTGGCCACCCCCCTCTGTTCAGCCCGTTGACGCCGTGAGGGGGGCTTAGTGGGCGGCTGCTGGAGTGTGATACTCCTTGGGACAGTCCTCTGACCTTTTCTAGCCTTGTGCTCCTGCTGCTGTCCTCTCCAATTGTGCTGAGCACCTTTTCCTTTTCCTTCTGTTTCATTTTTCTCCCCCTCTTCTCCTATCTGCTTGCCGTTTCCTGCCGACCTTTTGCTTGTTTTGGTTATTCCTTTGGACTTCTTCTATTTTGACGCTCGGGTGCTTGAGGAGGCATACTCTTGCACCAGTAGAACTGTAGTACCCAACGTCGAGAGCGAGGGGAACCTTTTATTGTCAATCCCCCTTTCGTCACTGAACCCAATCTCGACGGACTGTCGGTTCTTAAGGTGGCGTTTGTGGGGTGTATACTTACGACGCACCCCTAGGAGGCCCCGGCATGATCGGCGATAGCTTCTTGTTGGGTGTCCTGCCTCTAATTGTGGCTCCATGGTGAGTGTGGGGGCACATTCGTGAATGAATGTTGATTTTTCATAGCAATGATATCTACTGTTTCTGCTGTTTCTCCTTTACCTTCTCAGGCTCGTGGGTTGGGTGACCAAGCCCCCGAGTCGGTCAGTGTTGGAAGACCGGGCTCTGTAGCCTCCGCTGCATTGGGCCCCGACCTTGCTCCTCCTTTGGCCTCTCTGACTCCTCCCCTCGGCTCCCCTCCCTCCTCTGTGGTTGGGTCGATCGAGCCCCAAGCCCCCAGTGGTGACTACCTCGTCCCCTGACGCAGCTCCATCTCTAGTTGTAACTACTGCGCCTTTTAACCCCCCCTCTCTCTCTGGGGGTTCTCACTGCCGTCTTCATCACGGCCGCCCTCGCTCGATTCCTTCCCGTTCTGATACCTATCAAGCTTTGTTTGGTCCTGCTTCGTGGGCCAAATATTTTGACCTCCCTCTTGATTTTGCGCCTCCTGACGATTTCTCCCTCCATCGACATCTCGTTGATTCTGTGGATGCCTTTGTTACTTTCAACCCCACTCGTCTCGGTACACGTGTCGTTGCTGCTCCTACTCAGGATGCAGCTTCCCGCTTGGCTGCCTTATCCTGCCTTGGCGAGACCCCTGTTCGAATCTCAAAGAACGTTCAGTTGAACGCCAGTGTTGGCACTATTCTTCTCCCGCCCCATGTTGCGACCGGTGTTCTGGATCTGTGAGACTGCCACGACGATATTCGACATATCCTTGATGCCCAGGGCCATTCTATTCTCCAGGTGGACACGTTTACTAGTCCTCCTCGTGGTAGTCACCGTCAACCCCTTCGGGTTGTGAAGATTACCTTTGATGGTCGGACCCTTCCAGCCTGTCATTCTTGCTGGTGCCAGGTGCTCTGTCCAGGAGTACATTCCTTCTCCTAGGCTTTGTAACAAGTGCTGGAGGTTTGGGCATGGTGCCCTCCGCTGCTCTGTGACTGTCTCTCTCCTTTGTGTGGTGGGGAAGGTCACTCTAAGTCGGAGTGCACTTCTCCCCGAGCTCGTTGCCTCAACTGCGGTGAGGCCCATCCTACCTTCTCCCGTGCGTGTGTCCATTACAAGCTTGAGGCAGCCGTCCTCAACTTGAAGCACTGGGAGCGTTTATCTTTTCCTGAGGCGAGGCGCCAGATTCGCCGGCTCCCTCCTTATGCTAATAGCTCTTATGCTCGCGTGTTGAGTTCTTCCTCTCCTCATCCTGAGCCGGTCGGCCGAGCGGACAGCACGCTGGACTGTGATCCTGTAGTCCCGGGTTCGATCCTGGGCGCCGGCAAGAAACAATCGGCAGAGTTTCTTTCACCCTATGCCCCTGTTACCTAGCAGTAAATAGGTACCTGGGTGTTAGTCAGCTGTCACAGGCTGCTTCCTGGGGGTGGAGGCCTGGTCGAGGACTGGGCCACGGGGACACTAAAGCCCCGAAATCATCTCAAGATAACCTCTCAAAAAGATCCTTCCCACCTTCTTCAGACACAACCGTTTCCGGGCCTTGGACCCTGATACGCCTACTGCCCCCTCCTCTGTTCCTTTGAGTTCTGTCCCGAAGGATCCACCTCCTGGTCTTCTGTCTGGGGTTCCCCTCCTTTCTACCCGGTCTGTCTCGTCTCCTGTGTCTTCTTCCTCGTCTCCCTCCGTTCCCCCTTCCCATCCTTCCCCTCCGTCTCTTGACTCTCCCCACCGCCTGTCGGTGCGGGCTGATGTCCATTGCTCTCCAAACGGCCGTCGCGTGTGCTCTCGTTCGGCTTCTGTAGACGCTAGAATCTGTTGCCCAATACGTAGTTGCTGGGACACCTGTTTCTTTACGTCAGAAGCGTAAGCCTGGCTCCTCTCCTTCCTCCCCGGGGGGTAAGAAGGTTTCGCTTTCTTCCTCGGCCCCTACTTCTGCCTCTATCGCTCCTTCCCCTCCCATTTCGGTGGTTGCGCCCCCTGTTCCTGCTGTGGAGGTTTCTTTGGCCCCTGCTTCCCTCTCGGTTGCTGCCCTTGCTGAGGTGCGCTTTCCTCTTTCTACTCCCCTTCTTCCTGCTGCTGTCCTTGACTACTCCTCTCCGTTGTCTCCTCCTCCTCCGGACCCCATCCGCCCCCCTCTGGTGTATTCTCCCGCTTCCTTCCCTCCGTCTTTGCTCAGTTTACCTATGCCCCCTAACCCTGACTTTGCTGACCCTGATATTCTTTAACATGTTATATTGCTCTTTTGCCTTTGTGTCTTCCTTGTTCTCTGTTTTTGTCTTTTCTCTTCTCGTCGATGTCTGTTCTTCAATGGAACGTTCGAGGTTATTACGCCAATTTCCTCGAACTCCAACTTCTGATTTCGCGGTTTTCGCCCCTTTGTGTCTGTCTCCAGGAGTCGATGCTTGGTGCTCGTCCTGGTCGTTTCCGTGGCTATTCCTTTCTCCCCCCCCTTCCCCCCAGTACAGCTGGGGCTCCTAATTCTTCTGCTCTCTTGATTCGCACTGATGTTCCCTTTGTCCCCTTACTTTTTCATTTGCCTCTCCATTGTTCTGCTGCTCATATCTTTGTGGGGAAATGGTACACAGTTTGTTCCATTTATCTCCCCCCGAGTGTCCCGCTTTCTCTTCCTGATCTGAAACACCTCCTGGACTCCTTGCCGGAGCCTGTGCTCCTGCTAGGTGATTTCAATTGTCGTCATTCTCTTTGGGGTGATGTTCTGACGAATACCAGAGGTCGCCTTCTTGAGCCGTTTATCCTCTCTTCTTCCCTGTCTCTTCTGAATTCTGGTGAGCCCACTCATTTGGACTCTCGGACTCGTACCCTTTCCTGTCTTGATCTTTCTCTTTGCTCTTCTCTTTACTTAGATTTCACGTGGCAGGTTCTTGACCTCCACGGCAGTGACCATTTCCCCATCCTTGTTTCCTTTTTCTCTTTTCGCCCTTCCCTCTCCTTCCCTAGGTGGCAGTTTGCTAAAGCGGACTGGAACCTATTTACCCTCAGTGCTGCTCTCTCTGACCTCTCCCTCGCGCTCTCCTCCTTTTTCATGACACTGTCTTCGATGCTGCCCTCCGCTCTATTCCTCGATGCTGCCCTCCGCTCTATTCCTCGCTCTTCCTCTCGGGGTCCGCGGAAGTGCGTTCCCTGGTGGAATGCAGACTGTGCTCGGGCTGTCCGCTGTAAGCGTGCAGCCTGGAAGAGGCACCGCAGTCAGCAGACGGCCGATTCTTTTCTTTTCTTTCGGAAAGCGAGTGCGGTGGCCCGTAGGGCCATCCGTACGGCTAAACGTGAATGTTGGGCATCTTATGTCTCCACAATTACGTCCGAAACTCCCCTGCCACAGATCTGGAAGCGTATCAGCAAGATAGCGGGTAAGTTCGTTCCCGATGTTTCACCGGTCCTTCACCTCCGTGGTACTCTTGTGGTGAACCCGTTGCAGGTTGCTACCGAACTGGGTTCCCACTTTTCTTCTGTTAGCTCTGGTCTTCATTTTCCCCAATCTTTCCTTCTTCGTGAACCTGTCCTTGAGTCTCGTCCTTTAGATTTCTGCACTCGTCTTCGACTTTCCTATAACGATCCCTTCTCTCTCTCTGAACTTCGTTCTGCCCTGGCCCTCTGCGGTTTTACGGCGGCGGGCTCCGATGGTATTCATTATGAGATGCTTCGCCATCTCCCTCCGTGCACGTCTCAGTATTTACTGAGTCTGTATAATCGAATCTGGGAGTCGTCGTCAGTCCCTGAGGACTGGCTCGATGCCGTTGTCCTCCCTGTTCGCAAACCAGGTTCTCTGGGAACTTTCCCTAAGGACTTTCGCCCTATTGCCCTCACAAGTTGTGTCTGCAAACTCTTTGAACGTATGGTTAACGTTCGTCTGATGTGGTTCCTGGAACACTATCACCACCTCTTCCCTTCTCAATTTGGTTTCCGTAAGTGCCGCAGCACGACAGATATCCTGGTGAACTTGGAGGTCTTTATTTGTACTGCTTTTGCTGCGAGGACCTCCGTTGTTGCCGTCCTTTTTGACCTGGAAAAGGCTTACGACACCACTTGGCGATATCATATTCTGTCCCAGCTTCATTCTTTTGGCCTTCGTGGTCATCTCCCTCTCTTTCTCCGCACCCAGCTTCCTCTCTCGTCGTTCCTTTCGGGTGCGCCTTGGTACCGCTCTCTCTGCCTCTTTTCAGCAGTACGAAGGTGTGCCCCAGGGTAGTGTTCTGAGCACTACTCTTTTTCTGGTTGCCCTCA